TTACACCTGCATACCTACTCGACAGTCTCCTACTATAAACTCAATGAACCCAAGTCTTCAATATTAAATCTTCATATATCACTCCAAGACCAAAAAATATTGACTACACATTTCATTCCATTTTCCTGGGAAACCGACAGTATCCCCTATCTAGGAATTAGATTAACCGCAACAGCAGACCAACTATACCTCGCAAATCACAAGAAACTCCTTGAAACTATCCCCTACAAAATTTTTACTCTCCACACCTCAGAGCTCTCCAAGTTAGGTTGAGTAGCGACCCTAAAAATGTACATACTATCCAAAATCCTGTACATATTCCGCAAGCTTCCAGTACCGGTTCCTAATGCTTTCTTCTCCTGACTGCAATCAATCCTCACAAAATTCCTATGGAACTCCAAAAAATCCAGATGCACTACTATCCTTCTCATATGCACCACAAAAAGAGGAGGAGCAGGTCTCCCCAACCTGAAATCATACTACAATGCCACTCTACTTGACCAAATATACTTTTGGTGGAACCCCTCAAAAGAAAAAATATGGTCCACAATGGAAACTCTCTCATTCTACCCTCTCAATCCATAAAACCTCCTCATAACACCACACACAGCCCAATTCGAATATCAAATGAAACACCCCTATATCAAAGCCACCCTACAAGCATGGCAAAATCTCCTTTCCACCAAATTCACTGACATTAAACATATCCCTACTCCACTCAATTTACTGCAGGTCCTAACACCCTCCTTAAACTTAACCCAATGGACATCACAAGGCATAGTACACATTACTGACCTTTATAATGACCAAATCCCATACTCGTTCCAAAGTCTCCAAATTAAATACAATCTCCCATCTACTGAATACTTTACCTACTTAAGAATTGTACATTGCTTACAAACAACGAAAATACCTTACTCCCAATTACCGCCTACAACTTCTTTACCAAAACACGATATCCCGGCAAAGGCATTTCCATCTTCTATACGTTTCTCACTGACCTACAATTCGCCATACAATCTACCTTCTTAACAAACTGGGGAAAAATACTTTCGGAACAAATCACAACACAATCATGGGAAAGAGCGTTCAGCATCACCCACAATCCACCCGATGCACCTCACACTGGGAGACGTAATTAAATATCCTTCATCAATGGTACCTAACTCCCGTCAAGCTCTCTACCTATTATCCAAACCATCCCCCTTCTTTCTGGAGACAATGTGGTGAAATCAGTTCAACACTGCACATCCTCTGGTCCTACAAAACAATTAGATCCTATTGGAATAGAGTTTTCTATAATTTCTGAAATATCTGGAACCCCGATCACCCCAAATCCTTCTTTAGCACTTTTACACATCAGAATCGAACAATTTCCACCTAACTCCCACACCATTATTACCCATACACTTTTGCAGCCAAAGTTAACATCACTAGATTATGGAATACCACCAACGCTCCCTCTCTCACATCCCTGATCCACGATTTCAATTTTCAATGTGACATGGAAAAGAGATTAGCATTAAATAACTCCTCTCAACATAAATTTAATCCTCAATGGGCTTTATGGCTACGCAATCCAAATTGCTCCATACAACTTTGAAAAATAGATCACAATTGACACCGTTAACTAATCCCAGACTGGTTCTTCCTCCCCTACCAAGTTACATATCCCCCCCATCCCTCCTTTCCTCCCCCTACCTTCTCCTCTTAATACTCCCCCAATACCCCATACACTTCGCCAAGTTCAACACACTACCTAGAATACCTCTGATGACATTGTCTTAGAAACCTTTACAACACCCCCCAATTTCCGGTAGGGTATAATACTCATTTCTATACTGTATTACAACATTTTCTGTTGAACCGTATACCATTACCCTGTTATGTCTTTAAAATCTTCAATAAAAATTATTGAAATTAAAAAAGTTTAGTGGTTTAGATGTGCCTCCCAGGACCTAATTGTATGGAGAGAAATCTCACATCACATGACAAAGCCTTAAAAATCATTGAGAATATAGGGATTGATTTACTAAAGGAGTTAAGAACCCTCACTCAATAAATTGTAATTGTGTTCACGTTGACTACCCAATCATATACAGATTAAAGTGGTTATAAACCTCTGCAATGAAAAGTAAACAGAACATACCCTTCTATAGTGTGCACTAATCTCAATCCAAATCACAGAGTGTGGTTTCTGTCTCCTTTCTCTTCCTTCTGCTATCTGCATAAGTCACTTCTGACAGGCTATCCCGCCACCACAGAATCTCAGGAGATGCCCCCCCCCCCATCCCCAGGACACAGAAGGTGAATGACAACCTCAGCTGTGCATATTTCCCTATGAGACTGTTTAGAGGGAGGTGTGACCTTTCCCTTCACTCAAGTCTCAGATTACACTCAATTCCCTGCTCTATGATATGCAGTGTGTGACATCAGATTCCCATCTCCTGACTGCTGAAGCTGAGAAATAGCCCTTGATATTTGTGTTTTAAAAGGTTGTAAAGAAGAGAGGGCTGCAGATAAACAACTGTAGCTTATGTAGGAGGATTTTTTTCTTCTCTGCATATGACCTGAGGCATGCCACTTCAGTGGGTATATGCAAGGGTTTACAACCAATGTAAAGACATAAAAAATAATTTGCTTTTCACATGACTTGATGTGAAGGTTCGCTCAATTTATCGAATTAAGATTTTCAACTCCTCTATTCCTATTTCTGTAGGATAAGGGTCAGATAATGTCTCTGAGAATATTGAGGTGTCATAACGGAGTATAATTAGGAATATTAATTTCACTATCTTTCTAGCAGGATATGTAAAACAGCTATTGTATGTTCCAAGGAGACTGTTATGTGATTCACTACTCCTGTCAGCTTAGCACTGGAGGAGACAAGCCAGATCTGGAGAGGAGGAGAGAGCCTGGAGGAGGGGTGGATTGTGCTTTCTCTCCCCTCCAGCTCCTCCTGCCACTGCATCTCCCCTGGATAGGGACTGCCAGATCACCACTGTGCAGTGTTTGTTTATCTTCAGCCATTTCCTTCAAGCAAAGAACATGGGTAGGGGTCGGGTAAGCAAACACTGCACAGTGACAATCTGACAGCCAGTGGAATCTCTACTGCAAGACCCTGATGCTACGATCCTATAGCTCTCTATAGCCCTTCTATTGTGCTTGAATTATTTTGGGGGAGGGGATTTTTTTCTGACACATAATGCTCATACATTTTGGGGGGCTGATTTGGCATCTTTACCCTGGGCACTAGACAACCTTTTTTTTTGGGGGGGGGGATTCTGACATATATTGCTCATACATTTTTTTGGGGGGGGACTTCATTTGACATCTTTGCCCTGGGCACTAGGCAACCTTGTCCCAGCACTGACAGTGATGTATACTGTATGTAGCTGATGCTACATACAGTATATACAGTGGTCCCAGCAAGCATCTTTGCCCTGGGCACTAGGCAACCTTGTCCCAGCACTGACAGTGATGTATACTGTATGTAGCTGATGCTACATACAGTATATACAGTGGTCCCAGCAAGCACATCTGTTCGTAAAGACATCAGCTTGCCCCAAATAAACTATTTTAAGTCATTGCAAACCTGGAGTTAGATTGTTTGTGTTATTCAATACTAAGCACTACTTAATAGCTACAGTTTCTATCTGTTTTTTTGTGAGCTTTGACCTTGCATGATGTTTGCCCTGACCTGTATTGGCCTTCTAATCCTGAATATTTATTTATTTATTAATTATTTATTTCAGGTACTTATATAGCGCCATCAATTTTACGCAGCGCTTTACACATATATATTGTACATTCACATCAGTCCCTAACCCTCAAGGGGCGTACAACCTAAGGTCCCTAACTCACATCCATACATACACATACTAGGGTCAATTTAGACAGGATCCAATTAACCTACCAGCATGTCTTTGGAGTGTGGGAGGAAACCGGAGTACCTGGAGGAAACCCACGCAGGCACAGGGAGAACATGCAAACTCCAGGCAGGTGGTGCCATGGCTGGGATTCGAACCAACAACCCTAGTACTAGTGCTAACCATTTAGCCACTGTGCTGCCCAATATCTGGATGTGCTTCCTCTATCCTGTTGTGACTCCTGATTTTTGTGTGCCTGACTTGGTCATGATTTTGCATTGTGATTGATATGCTATCTGATCTGATCCTGTACTGTACCTGTTGTGAGTCAGGTGATCCTGGTAAAATCCATCTCAACATTAAGACGCTCTGTTGAAGCTTAGGGTGTTCTAGAGAAGCTTCTGCTATTTGCTAGTGATGCAAACTATCCTTGCTTGCCTGCACTTATCCTGAACCTACATTATGGCCTGCTTGTCTACACAGATGCAGGACTGTATGCCAAACTTTTGCCAGCATAACTTTTGCAGCTTTTCTTCGGTGCTACCTGCCGTTCATGCCATTTGTTATAACATACCAAAGGAAAATACATGGGATATTAACCTCCCTAGCGGTCTGATTATGCCCATATTTCTGTGCTCAAAGCGGTACATTTTTGTTGCATGGAAATATGTATTTTTTTTTATTGTAGGTCTGTAATTTTTAGGAATAACTCACTGAAATCTGTCCGAACAAGAGTCTAGTAAACATCCCGGGTAGGATAAAACTTGAAACACTAAATCATAAATTATAATTTAATAAATAATCATAAAAAACAATAATAGAATAATAATAAATTTAATTCAATAATATAATCAAACCAAAAACACTGAAATTTGAAATATAGCGCCAAGTTCGCACATCGCTGAGCAAAGTCGCAAAATCGTTTTCAGTGTCTGATGACGAATTTCCCCACAAATCATTATCACTCAATTCTGCAAGTGGTTCTGATTTACTATCGCTGTTCTCTAGCTGATCTAAAACCGCTTTTGACCTAAAGGGACACTTTTTGGACGCCATGGACGTTTCTCAGTTTCCAGGCAGAAAGAACAGTAAAAATGCAGGCAGGGCACAGGACAAAGCATTAGGGACAAAATGTATGTGAAATGGCTTGATACAGTAATGTTTTACTATGTGATTTTAGTGATTTTAGTGAATGTCACTTTTTGTCATTTTCAAATTTCCCGCCGTTCCGTCCCCCATACGTCCCGACGCTCGCAGGGGACGGAACCCAGAAGACAGATGCCGGCATCCGCCAGATTACATTGCCGGGGACACTGCAGGAGGGACATCGCGGGAGCGCAGGACAAAGTAAGTGAAGAACAGAGACCGGAGCAGCGCCACATGGTAAGCCCGAGTGTAGCTCGGGGTTACCACTTGTGGTACTGAAACTTTAACCCGAGCTACACTCGGGAATACCGCCAGGGAGGCTACTGCTTATGGGACCTTAGATATGGTAACATAATTTTTGTCAGCCTTTTTTCCATTTCTTTCCATATGGAGATTCAGTAACACATTTTTTGTCCTAGGGTGACAATAATCAGTCCAGTTTATCTATGGGGGAGTAGCATTTTCACCCTAGGACAGGAAGTTACAAGCTCTGTTACATGCATGCAAATCCATGACTCTTCTGACAATGGGTACTGGCTTCCAGTGGCCTGCTGGCCGCTGTCATATTGGATGGAGAGCATCTGTGAACAGCAATTTTCAAGTCTTGCCTCAGATTCTCAATTGGATTCAGGTCTGGACTTTGACTGGGCCATTCTAACACATGAATATGCTTTGATCTAAACCATTCCATTGTAGCTCTGGCTGTATGTTTAAGGTCGTTGTCCTGCTGGAAGGTGAACCTCCTCCCCAGTCTCAAGTCTTTTGCAGACTCTAACAGGGTTTCTTGTAAGATTGAACTGTATTTGGGTCCATCCATCTTCCCATCAACTCTGACCAGCTTCCCTGTCCCTGCTGAAGAAAAGCATCCCCACAACATGATGCTGCCACCACCATGTTTCACGGCGGGGATAGTGTGTTCAGAGTGATGTCTTAGTTTTCCGCCACACATAGCATTTTCAATTGTGATCTCATCTGACCAAAGTAGCTTTTTCCACATGTTTGCTGTGTCCCCCACATGACATTTTCGCAAACTACAAACAGGACTTCTTATGGGCTTCTTTCAACAATGGCATTCTTCTTGCCACTCTTCCATAAAGGCCAGATTTGTGGAGTGCACGACTAATAGTTGTCCTGTGGACATTCTCCCACCTGAGCTGTGGATTTCTGCAGCTCCTCCAGAGTTACCATGGGCCTTTTGGCTACTTCTCTGATTAACCACTTCCCAAAACCGGCCGTTGTATATAATCTGCCGGATGGTGGCACTGTAGGGTCGGATGGCCGTTTATAAACGACCTCCCCGCACCCTGCTTATGAGAGAAAGAGAAATGATTGCTTTTACATCCTATATGGGTGTAAAAGCAATCAGTGTAAAAAAAAATAAAATCTTCATCACCCCCCAGAAGTAGTACAGTGTCATCATGGGGACAGTATGTTAAAAAAAAAAAAAAAATAAATAAATAATAATAATATAAAAAAAAATAAAAATGTAAAAAAAAAATGTTAAAAAATTATAATTTTTGGTTATAAACTAATTTCGTTTTTTTTTTGTTTTTTACTAAAAAGATAACGGACTAAAGTTTGGCCAGGATTTATGATGAAATATTATTTATTTGCAAAATTTTATAAGAAAAACACTTTTTTTCAAACTTTTTGGACATTTTCATTTACATAGCAAAAAAAATAAAAATCCGGTGAATAAATACCACCAAAATAAAGTTTTATCTGTCTCAAAAAAAATGGTAAAAAATTCATATGGGTACAGTGTTGCATGACCGCGCAATTGTCATTCAAAGTGTGATAACGCTGAAAGCTGAAAATTGCCCTGGTCAGTAAGGGGGTAAAAGTGCCCGGACTGGAAGTGGCTAATGCTCTCCTTGCCTGGCCTATCAGTTTAGGAGGACAGCCATGTCTTGGTAGGTTTTGCAGTTGTGCCACACACTTTCCATTTTCGGATGATGAATTGAACAGTGTTCTGTGAGATGTTCAAAGCTTGGGATATTTTTATATACCCTAGCCCTGCTTTAAACTTATCCACAACTTTATCCCTGATCAGTCTGGTGTGTTCCTTGGCCTTCGTGATGCTGTTTGTTCATTAATGCTCTCTATCAAACCTCTGAGGGCTTCACAGAAAAGCTGTGTTTATAGAGATATATATTCACAATTATGTGCCACTTGGTTTTGGTCTACCATATAAAATCCTAATAAAATACATATACGTCTTTGGTTGTAACGAGACAAAATGTGAACAATTTCAAAGGGTATGAATACTTTTTCAAGGTACTGTATGTAGGTTTTATTGAAGCATCCAAACTCTTTAAACTGTTCCATCTACTTGTCCAAACTTCAAGTGTTTCACTCCTTATGGAGCTTAAAACAGAACTAGAAATATTAAACTCTTCATTCCAGTGAAGTGCCAGTCAATCCCTTGCTGGCTACTGTCATATTCTGCCCGGCTGCCTCCTGGTGTTGGATTTTGTTTGAGCCTCTTGATTGGCAGGTCAGGGAATGATGTTATTCATGCACATGCACCATCAGAGTGGCGCATGTGCATGTGCAGCATGTGCAGGTGCAGCTCAGCTGTGCATGTGCAGCTCAGCATGCATTCATAGAAGACAGTGAGCAGGCAGGTGAATTTTTGTTATAGCAGAAGAGACCTAACATATATCTTCTCCAATAAATATCTGCCTGCTAGCAGTTCTTAGTAGTCAAGTTTAGTTCCACTTTATTCATAACGTACTGTAAATTAAGCTCCATAAGAAGTGAAACCTTTTGGCATTTGAATAAACAAGTGGAACAGTGCTTGTATAGGGTGTTTCAATAACACCTACATATGAGGCTTTTAAAATGGAGAACAACTTCTTTCTTTCTTCTTGTTTAACACTTAACCTTAGCCAGGAAGTGTTTTAGGACTAAGAGCCCTCCACTCTTCACCATAACATGGGGTAAGGTTTTTATGTAGTCCACAGGGAGAACTGCTTAAGCTGTACTTTGATAAATATGTCCTTTGGCTTGAATTCCTCCTGAAAAATACCTGAGTACTTCCTGGTATGTGAGGGCACCTAAGTACTCATGTGCCTGCAAGCCTCATAGCTTTATGTTCACTGCAAGATCTAAAGCTGGCCATAGATGGTTTGAATCTTGGCCGATTCAGCAGGGACCAGTAAAGATTTGAACCATCTCTGGGCGGGCTGTTTTTACCCAATTTGATTGCTGTACAGCTTTGGTACAACCAGCCTGTTGGATTTTTTATGAGTTTATTGCCCACAGCTATAGCCGATAACAATAATTATTGTGTTCTCCTGCCACTGGGAGAACACAATACATCAAATGTGTTGATGAAGGAATCAAGCAATTTTCTTTCCTGCAACCCATCGTTGCAGGAAAGAAAATCGCATATTCTATGGCCGGCTTAAGGCTCTGCTTCCTTTGACTGCTAATTTCACAGGATTTGGAGTGCAATTTGCTGATGTCACTAATATGCTGCTCACTGTTCTCCTTCCTGGAGGGTCTGAAATGGGGGAGCACACATGGCAATATTGCATATGGCAAAATTGCAGCCTTCACAGGGACATGCAGTGTAGAATAAGGCATGGTAAGTTAATAATGAAGACAAATGAGCTGTGGGGAGACCACAGGTAATACTAGTGTAAAGTCATTTGCTCTCATTTGCCTTTTTTGGGCACAGCTTCCCGACTAAGGTTACTTTTTGATAAACTCTTCTCTTTTTTTATATAAGATGTCTGCTTTATTATAGTGATATGTAGGAGGGTGCATTAAGGCTGTTTCAAGTTATAAAGCCATTTTCCATTGTAGTCAACAATCAAAGTATTGTAGTTCGCAGTAGAGGCTTTTTTTTTATAGAAAGGAAAAACAGGAATTTACAGCAATAATCATGCAACAAAGCTGTAGGAGATATTCTAAATTTCCCAACAACAAACAATTTTCATGCTTTTAAAACCAAGGTGTATCACACCAGAAGGACCTAATTTATTTTCTGCAGCTTAATAGCAGCTGGATAAGACAAACAACCCAGTTGAAATGAAGGGGGCAGCAACGTTCTCACTTCAATGAACAACTACCAGTATGGTGCATGGAATTTATTACAGACTTGATTTTTTTTTTATTCGGTTAATTTGAAAAATAAATGCCTGTAACCTACAAAATATTTTATTAGACAAAAACTAATTAAAAGACCATCCTCAAATAAGGCCATATGACCTTCACTTAAAGTAAGCAAACCATATTATATTAAAGCTAACCTGTCACAAACCTGGCCATTCAGATTAAGCATATGATGAAATAATACAAAAGCAAAGGTTACTTTTTAAAAAAAAAAACAACCTGTCCAAAAATAACTTATTCCTGAACAATATAGGTAGCTGGACTCACAAGCAAATCTTGACACTTTGACCATTTAAAAGTTAAGCGTGACCACTTCAGCCTCCCTTTTGCTTTCCAACACCTTCCTGCATATGGTCAGTGAGGCCAATAGGAAGAATCTGGAAACAGGAAGACCTTAGACCAAGCTTGACTTTTTCAAGAAAAGCTGAAATTATCATAAAACCTATGTACTCACTTACAATAAGATATTAATAGAATAAAGCAAGTCCAGACAACAACAAAGAATTAGGGTTTGTTTAAGCATGCAACAAGGACTGCCACTCTTCTGAAAAGCGATCTGGGTTTGAATCTCTTTTCAGTAGTATTTGCCAGGTGGTGAATAGGTGATATGTCGGCCACTCACTGCAAGTTTTAGCCCCCTAAATGTGGAACAACTACACTGGTCGTTCACTTGAATGGGTCACGCCAGCAGGAGGAACTGCTCACCAAACATGACAGGATATTTAATTCCTGCTGCAACTATGGTGCAAAGCAAGCAGGTCTACTCCCACAGATGCTGCCTTTGCAACTTAAGAGGGAGTAGTTGGGGCAGTAAAAACATGGCTCAGCTTAACGTGTTTAGCACACCTCAACCACAAGTGTAAACTAGTGTTTATGGAGAGACTACATGAACTTTAAGGAAAGGGGAGGGAATAGCATTTACACATTTAAATATATTAAGGGAGTAAACAAAGTTCAGAAGGGCAGTATTTACAAAATGAAGCTGAGATAAAAAATGCAGTGACATGACCTCAAACCAGCAGGATGAAAGTTATTATTATTATACAGTATTTATAAAGTGCCAAAGGGTTTGCTTAGCGCTGTACAATAGCAAGGGGGACATAACATGAGACAAGACAGTAACAATACAATACACGAGGGGTTCGAGGGCCCTGTTCTTTAGAGCTTACAATCTAGGAAAGCTCAAATAGAAAATAGTATTCCACCAA